GCGGGATCTGGATACCCATGTTGGCTCCCACATGTTCCACGATGATCTCATCGGATGAACCACGATGTCAAGGATTCAATCAATCCCGTATACAATTCCCTTTCTCTATCGGTATGATACTTGCCCGAGATTCGATCGTCGATATCCCGATACCTCGTTCAATCTCGTTGTCTCTTTACTCATTTCGTAATACATCATCCCGTGATCAAATCCTTGGTCACATTGTGCACATTATGATGATGTCCTACCGAGTGGGCCCAGAGATACCTCTCCATTACACGGAGTGACAAATCCCAGTCTCGATTCGGGCCAACCCAACACACACTTTTGGAGATACCCGCAGTGCACCTTTATAGCCACCCAGTTATGTTGTGATGTTTGGTACAACCAAAGCATTCCTACCACTAGTAGAAAAGGGGGCAAAGGTCCAGGCCGGGTCAACCCATTAGTCCCGGTTCAGTCACGAACCGGGACTAATGTGAGCATTGGTCCCGGTTCGTGTGGCTAAGGCATTAGTCCCGGTTCACCTGAGCCCTTTAGTCCCGGTTTGTGTTTCAAACCAGGACTAAAGATTAGACCTTTAGTCCCGGTTTTAGACACAAACCGGGACTAGAGGGTGCAATGCCCTTTAGTCCCGGTTTGTGTCTCAAACCGAGACTAAAGGTCCCATTTTCAAACTCTACCCCCAGTGGATCGCCTTTTTTGTTTCGAAAAAATCAAAAGAAAATGATAAAAACTTCAAAAAATAAAATCCTTCGAGAGGTAGTTATATTGCTACATCTACTAGTTAGGAAAATTTAAAAACTTAAATTTGGACATGTTTTGCAAAAAATGTAGGGAAAATGTAAAACGGCTATAACTTTTGCATACGATGTCGGGAAAAACGTATAATATATCAAAATGTTCAGAACGAAAATCCGCTTTCGATTTTGACAGCATACGGCCTATTTGCAAATTTTCAGAATCCTCAAATTCTAAAAGGAAAAAAAGTTATGCTCAAATTTCAGTTTTTTTTGAATTTTTGTTAAATCTGGTCAAACTATGGTCAAACTACTTATTCAAGAAGTATTAGTGTTATTAATAATTATTCAAGAATATTAGTGTTACTAAATAATTATTTCTTATTTTTGCATTTTGGTCAACTATGGTCAAACTGTGGTCAAATAATGGTCAAACTACTTATTCAAGAAATATTAGTGTTACTGAATAATTATTTCAGTTTTTTGAATTTTGGTCAAATCTGGTCAAACTATGGTCAAACTAGGGTCAAACTATGGTCAAACTACTTATTCAAGAAATATTAGTGTTACTAAATAATTATTGATTTTTAGAACAATAGTTTCAAACTCAAATGGTGAAATGTGTGACTTCATGCTCAAGCTAAATTCCTGAGGGTTAATAGGATTGACATCTTACTATTATCAGGAAAACAACAAGTGCAGACTTGGAAACGAGGGAGAATAGAACCCGGAAGTTAAGCGTGCTCAGGCTGGAGTAGTGAGAGGACGGGTGACTGTTCGGGAAGTTAGATGATTTGGAATGATGAGGGGTGATTAGAGATTAAAGGTTAAATTGAGCAGTGATGAGGGGTGATGAGAGATTAGAGGTTAAAATAATTCAGAAATTTGAAATTCAAAAAACAATTCAAAGAAAATTCATAAAATTTCCTTTAGTACCGGTTGGTGTTACCAACCGGGACTAAAGGTGGACCTCCAGGCAGCGGCCACGTGGAGGGCCTTTAGTCCCGGTTCCAGTAAGAAGCGGGACTAAAGGGGGAGGCTTTAGTACCGACCCTTTAGTCCCGGTTCCAGAACCGGGACTAAAGGCCTTTTTTCTACTAGTGTACGGTATCCGGGAGTTGCACAATCTCATGGTCTAAGGAAATGATACTTGACATTAGAAAAGCTTTAGCATACGAACTACACGATCTTTTGCTAGGCTTATGATTGGGTCTTGTCCATCACATCATTCTCCTAATGATGTGATCCCATCATCAACGACATCCAATGTCCATGGTCAGGAAACCGTAACCATCTATTGATCAACGAGCTAGTCTACTAGAGGCTTACTAGGGACATGGTGTCGTCTATGTATCCACACATGTATATGAGTTTCCTATCAATACAATTCTAGCATGGATAATAAACAATTATCATGAACAAGGAAATATAATAATAACTAATTTATTATTGCCTCTAGGTCATATTTCCAACAGTCTCCCACTTGCACTAGAGTCAATAATCCAGTTCACATCGCTATGTGATCAACACTCAAGGTCACATCCCATATGACTAACACCCAAAGAGTTTACTAGAGTCAATAATCTAGTTCACTTTACCATGTGATTAACACTCAATGAGTTCTGGGTTTGATCATGTTATGCTTGTGAGAGATGTTATAGTCAACGGGTCTGAACCTTTTAGATCCGTGTGTGCTTTACAAATCTCTATGTCATCTTGTAGATGCAGCTACCACGCTCTTTTTGGAGCTATTCCAAATAACTGTTCTACTATACGAATCCGGTTTACTACTCAGAATCATCCAGATTAGTGTCAAAGATTGCATCGGCGTAACCCTTTACGACGAACTCTTTTTCCACCACCATAATCGAGAAAATTCCTTAGTCCACTAGTTACTAAGGATAACCTTGACCTATTAAAATGGTGTGGTGATTACATGAGCTTATTGCTCTCTTAACGTTATTGGATTTTATCATGAGCTTATTGCTCTCTTAACGTTATTGGATTTTATCCCACTAATGTATAAAATGGTGTGGTGATTACATGAGCCATGTGACTAATTTTGTGATGCTATCTTTGATGGATATTTAATATGTTTTGCTAATGCATATAATTAATAAGCACCTTAGGCAGACCAATTCTAAAAAGATGAAATGTGCAATGAATCAAGAGGACACACCATAAAATAGGAAGGAAAAGGGTAAGGGAATGTAATTAGTTAACTACCATGGCATTAGAAATGAGGAGGATGGCCGGAAATCTCACAAAGATATGAATGGACAAAATAAATGCATACAAATCAAAGCAGCGAAGGGAGTTGATTCTTGACCTATGAGTTATGAAATAATATATGATAAGCTCACCCGGAGCCTCCGATGTGACATAGAGATGATGAAAGTAGAGGGGGCATCGATATCCATGCAAGTCCTTCTAACCTCTACTTCCAGGGCGCCCCACCTCCACCAACGACCTTTGAGGTTACCTCCATGCTAACACGTGAATTCGATGAGAGGAGAGCAAGCGGAGATCTAAACCTTTTTGCCGCCACAATGGCCTGGATCACATGACGCATGGTCTCGACCTTCCATGCATCTTGTTCCTAATATCTAGGTAGGTAGGGTGAGGGGAAGGGGAGAAATAGATTAAGGAGGCAAGGACCATGCTAATGCCTAGGGAGAGACAACAAACCGCTTGAAGCCTTGAGTGTAGTCGATCTGCTATTGAGGGAATCCTTCTTCGTCCCCTTTCCCTGTCAATTTCCCTTTGTGCATACATGCTCACGCCACCACACTCGCTTTGCATATGGATGAACAAAGAGCCTCCTTATTGCAGCTTCTCCGCTCGCCATCTCGCCACACTCATCAGCACTCTAAAGAGACAAGGAGACAAGGATGGAAAAGCGAGGATAGAGGTGGAGGCAGCAAGAGACATCGGCCTGGAAGGGCACAAGAGTGAGCGAGAGGAGGAACACTCGTGGCGGCGCGCGAGGAGGAGGTGAAGTGGAGAGATGTAAGGGCTAGGGTTTTTTGTGCATTGCCTTTTTATATACGTCCTATTTGAGCATCAACGACTGTGAACAACTAAAGAAAAGATCAAATGGTCACGAGAATCTTGGTGAGGTGGCATATCACCCCCCAATTCCCTCATGTACTATTATCGGTAATTATTGAATAACTCTAGATGAGGACGAAGTTATTTAGGACAGTAAAACTAAGTCTAATCTAAGCCCTCGCATGACCTAAGTGTTTTTGGCCATCAGTTCGCGTGATCTGGTTGATCTGAGCCGTTAAATTTGCTGCCAATTCCGAGCTCCACCGCAGATCTTTGTTCTTGGGCTCACTGTCCTAAAAGGGCTGCTACCCCAAAAGAAAAAAAACTGATATCGGTGATGCACTAGGCATTTGTGCTGGCCCATTTAGCTAACCCTCACGCGAGACATACACAGGTCGCTAACCTGAGAGTTCTAAAAAAAGGCCGCTAACCTGAGCGCTATATCATGAACCCCCCGAAACAAAAGCGCTCAACCCATTCGAGGTGGCGGCGAGGACGAGCACCGGAGATGGGACGGACAAGCGGAGGCGCCGACGGGAGAAGGAAATGTTAAGGTATTTTCTTATGGAGGAGGAAAGAGAGGGCCCTTGTTCTTTCTTTGATGCAAGCTTTGAAGAGTGGACTACCAGGACCTCATTGATAAGTTCTCCAAGAGGTAAAATGTTCTCCTGACTTGCAATTTGTGGGAGATGTATGAAATAGAGGGCCTCACAAAGCATTGAGATTGCTTGGTTCAATGCTAATATTTGGCACGCAGGATGTGTTGATATGTTTTAAAAGTTGGCTAACCAAATTTCAAAAAAAATCTTATGAAAATTGGTTATTTTCAAGTCTAGTTAAACCATGTCTCATGTAAATCTTCAAGTGTTACTCACTTCTCCCCAAAGCCTCCCCATAAGTTATGTACGACCAAGTAACAGTAGCATACAGAAAACCAAAGAGAAAAAAAATTCAAGACAACACCATGCCCAATTGGAAGCAAGAACCGCCAACGGTTGTTGCACTAGTAGCTTCTCCTCCACCACCCATGCGGTCGTTGCCGACCGCAGATGAAACCAGGTATGAAGACACAAATACTAGGTAGGAGACGAGGAAGTAGCATTGGTGGACAATTGATTTTAAGGGAAGCCGGTTCTGTTCACACACATCACGACTGATTCGGTGAATTGTTAGCAATTTTTGTTGGATGGCAGGAAATTAATTCGTGTAATGCATATGTCACACAAGGTGGAGATCATGCAGAGCATGTCGACCGACCTTACCGGCTACCAAGGCGTAAACGCGGTTGGGCAGCCTGTGAGGGTTCCGACATCACGCACCTCATGGATCTATGATGTGCCTAACACACCGTCCTTATTTTTGTTGATGGAACAATCCTCATATACTTCTATGAACAAGCTCGTCACTACTATGTCGGCAGGGTCGGCCGGTCCTTAGCCAACATTTTTCCCGAAAACCCGTGACACAAGGAAGGAAGGAGAAGAAACACTTCAAGATTCACGCCCAGGGCACACGTTATGCTTTTCAAAAAAAGGACAAGGAAATATACCATGTTTTATAGGATATTTTTCCAAAAAAGCAATAAATTCTTACCAACCTCTAAAAATGTTGTCAACTTTTGGTTTTGCCCAATGTTGGCATCAAATCAAATGTCTACATCAATGAAAATGAGCTATTTTTCATTAAAAAAGGAGAGAGAGAGAGAGCCAAGTTCAAACTTAGCAGCAAATTTTGGTGATATGGAGTAGCTAGCAAGTGCTACAATTTGGGTATAATAAAAAAAGTAGAAAAAAAAGGCTCCATTGCCGGGATTTGAACCCGGGTCGCCTGGGTGAAAGCCAGGTATCCTAACCGGGCTGGACGACAATGGATTGGTGTTTCGTTTCGATCCGTTACTTACTTAAGCGATTCCTTCCGTAAACTTGGACCGACACGTCCCTGAACCGACGCATCCACAGACCCCCGTCGTCGTGTTAAAATAAGAAGAGTCGAAACAAATCACAAATCTCCTTTTCCTCTGCCCGCCGCTCGCCCGGAACCTCCCCGTCGCCGCCGCCGCCGCCGCTCGCCCGAGACCTCCCCGTCGTCGCCGATCTCCCGGAGCCACCGCACCTCCGCTCGTCGCGCCGCTCGTATCCTCCTCCTCCGCCTCCTCGCCGGAGACAACATGGTACGATCAGCTCTATTCGCCTCTCTCGATTTCGACCTCTCCTCACCCCCAAATCCTAGGGTTTCCCGAATCCGGGGGCTTCTGGGGTAGCCCGGCTGACGATCCTTCATGTCCGCCGAGACGATTTGACTGATTTGTTGTATCCTGCAGTCGACGCTTGCCGCGGCGAGGGCCGACAACTTCTACTACCCGCCCGAATGGAGCCCGAAGAAGGTACTACGGATCTTCCTCGGCGAATTCGTGCAGCTCTTCGTTTTGTTCTGCTTTCTTATGGTTGCTGATGCCACTGCGTGCTTGTCTTTTTGTTCCTGTTTGGTTAAATCAGGGTGGGCTGAACAAGTTCCACGGCCAACATGCCCTCAGGGAGCGGGCGAGGAAGCTGGATCAGGGCATCCTGATTATAAGGTTTGTTTCCCTTGATATGTAGCCTGTTTTCTTATATGATCGTCCGTTCGGACATAACATGATGATGTGAAGCTAGAAATGCGTCGGACCTGGGGCCTTTTATCTAAACAGGCTTATAATGTGGATGGTTGGGCAATAGAGTTGGAGTTATGTGGGTTGATTGAGGTTTAAAGAATGGTGGGATGCCAAAGTAAGAGGGTGTGAATTTGGAGTAGGGAAGGAGTATGTGCCACCAAAATATTTGGGCCATGACTTGTATTTTACAGATGTTATTATGACAACTGTTGACATTGTTCCGTTACCAAACCGTGCTGATAAGATAGATTCATCTCAAAATATCTGTCTTGCAAATCAATTTTGTTAGTTTTTCACGGTCATACACCAATTAGTTAACCAATCTTGTTGAGAATTGTGAAATACTGTTCAGTTGATTTGGCAGTTCGCTTGATTGCCTTAAGTGCTAGAATCATGTATGAACTCATTCTTCTGCCCAGTTCCACACATATCTATCTCAATATGTTTTATCTGGCATAACACATTAGTACATGATAGAGAGATTGTTCCTTTGATGCATGTTAAAGTTGATTTTACCTTTATGCTTACTTTTTTGTAGAAACATCTTGTTGAAGTGTTTATCTAGCTTATTAACTCAATTGGTTTGTTCTGTTCTGCAGATTCGAGATGCCTTTCAATGTCTGGTGTGGTGGATGCAGCTCCATGATAGGGAAGGGAGTAAGGTTTAATGCTGAAAAGAAACAAGTTGGAAATTATTACTCTACCAAGGTTCGTGTCCAATCTTAACATGTACCGCATCATCACTGCTGTTCATTTAACTTTCTCTTCTGTGAATGGTGGAAGCTGTTTGTGCTTGAATTAGCGCAGCATATCCTCTCCCTATGTCTTTTCTTTCTTTCTTTCTGAAAGCCTCTCCCCATGTTATCGCTTATCAGAGCAATTGAATCTTGGTTTTATGGCTTACCATCTTTACTCAATTAGTTGCATAGTATTATGTTTCTTCTAGCTATGCCATGTCTAAATGCAAAATTTTGTAAAATTGGTTCAGCGTCAGCCTCGGCTGATCTCTTAAACTCACTCATTAGTTGATCTGCACCATCCTCAAATCATATCCTAAACTACAATTTGTGCGCATACGTTGCAAGGATAATTGGAGAAAATAATTAAAAAGTGAGTTGGTGAATTCTGGAGAAAATTTCGTATTCTAAACTGGCGTCAGCTTCCAAGCCAATGTGAATTGAAACAATGTTAAGGATGCGTACTGTGTTTAGTTACAAACCAAATAGCTTCTCGACCTGATATTGCCTTGGGATTTATATGTGTTGTTTTTCTACACAACTGGGATTTTTTTCCCACAAAAGTGAAGATAGATATATGAGATTTTTGTCATCACCGTAAACGCTAGTTTGTGGTTGCTGCGCTTGTTGGGAAGAAAACACACACAAGTACACACGGAGACTTTTTTGTGGCACACACGCACTTGCCTTTTCTCTTGTTCACTTCTCACACCACAAGGCAATTAATTGGGGCTTTTATAGCCATACACACACGGCTAACACGTATCCACTTACCAACTAACTAGCATGCACACACTCACACATGGTCAAGCCACTAATGGCTTGCTCCACTAATCACTCCACTAGCTGCGCACACACATATTTAGCACTTACGCAACTTCTCAAACAGCCACACGACTCGGCCAAATGCATGCAGCTACATGTGAGGATGCATGCAGCTCATCTTAACTCATTCCTGGAGCTAATCTCACGCTGGGCACACACATCTTTATCGTCATAACTAATTATTCCTTCTGGATAGAAATGGATGTATCTAGAACTAAAAATACGTCTAGATACATCCATTTCTGCGACAAGTAATTCGGGACGGAGGTAGTACTTCTTATTGCATTTTTCTGTGTACATTCGCAAAAGAGTATTGAGGGTAATCATAAAATGTTTAAGGGGTTGTTGGCATTTAAATAAATATTCCCTCTGTAACTTAATATAAGACTTTTTTTGACTCTGTCAGACTCTAAAAATGTCCTATAAAAGTTACAGAGGTAGTATTTGTTTTGATTGTAGACAAGTTAAAATAGCTTGAATTGAACCTACATATTTCTGAATAGCTTCTATGCTGCTTCCTTAGCCATGCTAATATTATTAGAAAAGAGAACTCAGTTGTACTTGCTTCTGCTAGCTGTGTAATGTATGTGTTAAAGAACCTCCAATAAGTTCTAATGACTTGGGGCCTTGTATATTTTCTGTGTTTATTCCCTGAGAAACTGCAGTACTATAATTTTCTACTCCACAGTTGTGACAGATTTCTGCTTAAAATCATTCACCCGTATGCTGTTCTGATATTGTTTCACAACTTTTTCCTATGTCAGATATGGAGCTTCAGTATGAAATCACCATGTTGCCAGCATGAGATAGTCATACATACGGACCCGAAGAATACTGAGTATGTTATAATCAGTGGGGCTCAGCGGAAGACTGAAGATTTCGATGTTGAAGATGCAGAGACGCTCCTGCTCCCTGCGGATGAAGGTTCTGACACCTAGTACAGATTTGTTTCTTTTTTATGGTTTTCCTTGTGATTCAAATGCCTGATGGTTTATTGTACTTGCTTCAGAAAGAGACAAGCTTGCGGATCCCATGTATAAGCTTGAACACCAGGGAGAGGATATTCGGAAGAAGAAAGAAGAGGAGCCTGTTTTAGTTCGGCTTCAACGCCTCTCTGATAGCCGTCATTCTGATGATTATTCCCTGAACAGAACCCTCCGCGACCGCCTTAGGGTCATCTAGTGAATTCCTTTGTATAATTTTTCATCAGTAAGTTGTCTAACTGTCAGGATTCTTATCCACTTGTTGTCCTATTATTTATGTAGAGCCAAAAGAAGAGAGTTGCTGACGAGAAGAAATCAGCGAGGAGGATGGGGCTCGGAGTACGCCTTCTGCCACCCTCCGCAGAGGATGCTGCCGCTGCAGCTCGTGTGAGGTTCGCCTCGAATTTCGAGAAGAACAGGAAGGACAAGAGAGCAGCGATCAAGGCCGCCTCCATCTTCCCGGAGCCATCAGGCTCAGCTTCGAAAGACAAGCTAGACCTTGCGCTGAAGAGGCGGAATATAAAAGCTAGTGCAGCGTCGGCGCTGATGGCGGGCAGGGCAAAGCCGTCGTCGTGGTCGCGGCAGAGCACCGGTTCTGGAAGTGCAAGGACTGCTGTGCCGATATTGGCAAGGCGCAAGTAGAGCCACACCCCGAGTTGTGCTTGCGCAACCAAGCAAGAATTTTGTGATCTTGTCCGGTCTGTTGCTCAGTACGCCCCATGTATACGTGTATCTTGTGTAGTACCTTCATTGATCTAGCAGTGTACTGTAACCTTGGTGTTATGTCCTGCTGTCGTGGCTGGGGCTGTGAGCCTGTGACATATCATGAGAAACTGATTTGCCTTGTAACTGATGATTCTGGACTGAGTAACTGATTTGCGTTTTTTCTCATTTCTTTAGTCACTTTTCGTATAGATCACTGCTAACCTGCATATCACGTTCTCTGTCAACCTGCAAGAGCTAAATTTAAACTTATGTCAAACTGCAAGGGCTAAATTTAAGCATGTTACTTTCTCTGTCAACCTGCAAAGCTAAATTTAAACTTATGTTTTTGCAGGGAAATCAGCCAAGTTTTTTCTCGTACTAAAAACAAGTTTAAACTTCTGTTTGTGTGTCTAGGGCTAAATTTTGGGTAATATTCAAAATAAAGGGCAGCGCAACACAGAAGTACAAAAATCAAAAAAATAGAAAAAGGCTCCATTGCCGGGATTTGAACCCGGGTCGCCTGGGTGAAAGCCAGGTATCCTAACCGGGCTGGACGACAATGGATTGGTGACGTATTGTAAGATTCCACACTTATATACGAGAAGAAAAGCATCTGGGATGTCCGTTCAGAGACTGATGTGTTTTTCTCGAGCAATTTGGGGTAAAGAATGCAGGTGCTATCTGCTTCAATTCCTCGTTGATGCTGCACAGCAGGCGAGTATGTCCGTTTCAGGCCATCTCCGTGGCAGCACCGACCCTCGCGCTGCCGCTGCGTCGCCCCATCGAGCCGTAGCGAGTGTGACACGCGATAGATCTCCGCCGCCACCCTAGGTCGTCCCCGCGGCTACACCGACTCGCGCGCCGCCGTTGCGTCGCCCCTTCATGAAGAAAATATGTCCTAGAGGCAAAAATAAAGTTATTATTTATTTCCTTATATCATGATAAATGTTTATTATTCATACTAGAATTGTATTAACCGGAAACATGATACATGTGTGAATACATAGACAAACAGAGTGTCACTAGTATGCCTCTACTTGAACTAGCTCGTGTTGATTTTCCTACGGTTTCACCAAGATCCATCTATGAGTTCATCTAGCAACGAGTTATCGGATTGCATCTACATACCTTTGTAGATCACGCGCGGAAGCATTCAAAGAACGGGGATGAGGGAGTCGTACTTGACGTGATCCAAATCACCGGAGATCCTAGCGCCGAATGGACGGCACCTCCGCGTTCAACACACGTACGGTCAGCGTGACGTCTCCTTCTTCTTGATCCAGCAAGGGGGAAGGAGAGGTTGAGGAAGATGGCTCCAGCAGCAGCACGACGGCGTGGTGGTGATGGAGCTGCAGTACTCCGGCAGGGCTTCGCCAAACTCTATGGAGGAGGAGGATGTCTTGGAAAGGGAGAAGGAGGCACCAAAGGCAAAGGTAAGAGGTCCTCCATCCCCCCCCCCACTATATATAGGGGGGCCTAGGGGGGGCGCCGGCCCTAGGAGATGCAATCTCCTAGGGGGACGGCGGCCAAGGGGTGGGGGGCTTGCCCCCCAAGCTAGGGGTGCCCCACCGTAGGCGCATGGGCCCTAGGGGAAGTGGCGCCCCAGCCCACTTTGGGCTGGATCCCTTCCCACTTCAGCCCATGGGGCCCTCCGGGATAGGTGGCCCCACCCGGTGGACCCCCGTGTCCCTTCCGGTGGTCCCGGTACAATACCGGTGACCCCGAAACTTGTCCCGACGGCCGAAATAGCACTTCCTATATATAATTCTTTACCTCTGGACCATTTCAGAACTCCTCGTGACATCCGGGATCTCATCCGGGACTCCAAACAACATTCGGGTTACTGCATATACATATCCCTACAACCCTGGCGTCACCGAACCTTAAGTGTATAGACCCTACGGGTTCGGGAGACATGTAGACATGACCGAGATCGCTCTCCGGTCAATAACCAACAACGGGATCTGGATACCCATGTTGGCTCCCACATGCTCCTCGATGATCTCATCGGATGAACCACGATGTCGAGGATTCAAGCAACCCTGTATACAATTCCCTTTGTCAATCGGTATGCTACTTGCCCGAGATTCGATCGTCGGTATCCCACTACCTTGTTCAATCTCGTTACCGGCAAGTCACTTTACTCGTACCGTAATGCATGATCCCGTGACCAGACACTTGGTCATTTTGAGCTCATAATGATGATGCATTACCGAGTGGGCCCAGTGATACCTCTCCGTCACACGGAGTGACAAATCCCAGTCTTGATCCGTGTCAACCCAACAGACACTTTCGGAGATACCCGTAGTATACCTTTATAGTCACCCAGTTACGTTGTGACGTTTGGCACACCCAAAGCACTCCTACGGTATCCGGGAGTTACACGATCTCATGGTCTAAGGAAAAGATACTTGACATTGGAAAACTCTAGCAAACGAACTATACGATCTTGTGCTATGTTTAGGATTGGGTCTTGTCCATCACATCATTCTCCTAATGATGTGATCTCGTTATCAATGACATCTAATGTCCATAGTCAGGAAACCATGACTATCTGTTGATCAACGAGCTAGTCAACTAGAGGCTTACTAGGGACATGTTGGTGTCTATTATTCACACATGTATTACGATTTCCGGATAACACAATTATAGCATGAATAAAAGACAATTATCATGAACAAGGAAATATAATAATAATCCTTTTATTATTGCCTCTAGGGCATATTTCCAACAGTCTCCCACTTGCACTAGAGTCAATAATCTAGTTACATTGTGATGAATCGAACACCCATGGAATTCTGGTGTTGATCATGTTTTGCTCTAGGGAGAGGTTTAGTCAACGGATCTGCTACATTCAGGTCCATATGTACTTTACAAATATCTATGTCTCCATCTTGAACATTTTCACGAATGGAGTTGAAGCGACGCTTGATGTGCCTTGTCTTCTTGTGAAACCTGGGCTCCTTGGCAAGAGCAATAGCTCCAGTGTTGTCACAGAAGAGCTTGATCGGCCCCGACGCATTGGGTATGACTCCTAGGTCGGTGATGAACTCCTTCACCCAAATTGCTTCATGCGCTGCCTCCGAGGCTGCCATGTACTCCGCTTCACATGTAGATCCCGCCACGACGCTCTGCTTGCAACTGCACCAGCTTACTGCCCCACCATTCAAAATATACACGTATCCGGTTTGTGACTTAGAGTCATCCAGATCTGTGTCGAAGCTAGCATCGACATAACCCTTTACGACGAGCTCTTCGTCACCTCCATAAACGAGAAACATTTCCTTAGTCCTTTTCAGGTACTTCAGGATATTCTTGACCACTGTCCAGTGTTCCTTGCCAGGATTACTTTGGTACCTTCCTACCAAACTTACGGCAAGGTTTACATCAGGTCTGGTACACAGCATGGCATACATAATAGAACCTATGGCTGAGGCATAGGGGATGACACTCATCTCTTCTATATCTTCTGCCGTGGTCGGACATTGAGCTGAGCTCAATTTCACACTTTGTAACACAGGCAAGAACCCCTTCTTAGACTGATCCATATTAAATTTCTTCAATATCTTATCAAGGTATGTGCTTTGTGAAAGACCTATGAGGCGTCTTGATCTATCTCTATAGATCTTGATGCCTAATATATATGCAGCTTCTCCAAGGTCCTTCATTGAAAAACTCTTATTCAAGTAGGCCTTAATGCTGTCCAAGAGTTTTATATAATTTCCCATCAAAAGTATGTCATCTACATATAATATGAGAAATGCTCCAGAGCTCCCACTCACTTTCTTGTAAACACAGGCTTCTCCATAAGTCTGCGTAAACCCAAACGCTTTGATCATCTCATCAAAGCGAATGTTCCAACTCCGAGATGCTTGCACTAGCCCATAAATCGAGCGTTGGAGCTTGCACACCTTGTTAGCATTCTTAGGATCGACAAAACCTTCTGGCTGCATCATATACAATTCTTCCTTAAGGAAACCATTAAGGAATGCCGTTTTGACGTCCATTTGCCATATCTCATAATCGTAGAATGCGGCAATTGCTAACATGATTCGGACGGACTTTAGCTTCGCTACCGGTGAGAAAGTCTCATCGTAGTCAACCCCTTGAACTTGTCGATAACCCTTAGCGACAAGCCGAGCTTTATAGATGGTCACATTACCATCCGCGTCTGTCTTCTTCTTAAAGATCCATTTATTTTCTATGGCTCGCTGCTCAACGGGCAAGTCAGTCAAAGTCCATACTTCGTTTTCATACATGGATCCTATCTCGGATTTCATGGCTTCTAGCCATTTGTCGGAATCCGGGCCCGCCATCGCTTCTTCATAGTTCGAAGGTTCACCGTTGTCTAACAACATGATTTCCAAGACAGGGTTGCCGTACCAATCTGGTGCGGAACGTGTCCTTGTGGACCTTCGAATTTCAGCAGGAGCTTGATCAGAAGTATCTTGATCATCATCATTAACTTCCTCTCTAATCGGTGCAGGCACCTCAGGAACATTTTCTTGAGTTGCGCCATTTTCCGGTTCAAGAGGTAATACTTCATCAAGTCCTACTTTCCTCCCACTTACTTCTTTCGAGAGAAACTCCTTCTCTAGAAAGGATCCATTCTTGGCAACAAAGATCTTGCCTTCGGATCTGAGGTAGAAGGTATACCCAATAGTTTCTTTAGGGTATCCTATGAAGACGCATTTTTCCGACTTGGGTTCGAGCTTTTCGGGTTGACGTTTCTTGACATAAGCATCGCATCCCCAAACTTTTAGAAACGACAGCTTAGGTTTCTTCCCAAATCATAATTCATACGGTGTCGTCTCAACGGATTTCGATGGAGCCCTATTTAAAGTGAATGCGGCAGTCTCTAAAAGCATAGCCCCAAAAAGATAGCGGCAAATCGGTAAGAGACATCATAGATCGCACCATATCTAATAGAGTGCGAT